ATTTTTAATGGCGGGAAAGTCATTCTGTAACAGAGTTGCACTCAGATTCATAGAATATCATTTCAACAGATTATTTACAGAAGCTGTATATAAAACTGAGTGAGCATCCACCAGAAATCAAATGATGTTTGTTCTTTATTCCTGACCCTGGAATCCACATCCCCACTGACGTCATTAGGAACTTTAGATCAATAATGTGGAACACTGAGTACAGATGCTGTTTTACTAGAGCGGCTTTGACATCATGCCGTACTTCTGTGCGACTGTAAAAAGTCTCTTTGCTTCTGACTCATTAAAGTCAAACTTGGGCAGCTTCATACGCGCACACAGTCTCGGCGAGAACGTGACTGTTCACTCGTCCGTTATTTCTTTCAGCAGCCTGTGAGATCAATACTTTTTAAGAGACCATCCATTAAGTCAAACCATCTGTTTCATCGACCAGAGATATTTCCCCTTATCAATTTACTTTAAAGCAGTATAGTCTGAATTTAAACATTCAGTTCACTGCCAGCCTATTTTTTTATTTTTTATTTTTTGAATACATAAAAGATCAGCTCAGTATATTGGCAGCTCCCTCAGGAAGCGGTAATTCTGGATGGTAAAAACATGATGTCTTGCAAGCTTAGGTTCCTTTTCATGGTCAATATGAAACATTCCGATTTTACTTCTATAATGTGATGTAATTCAGAGGGAAACAGGATGTTCAATAAGTAACATGCACTCTGGGACGCAATCCTATCTATCAGGAATTGATTGGATTGTCAAAAGTGTCGATTTGCATACAAGAAGAGAGGCTAGTAGTGCTTAATCAGAAGGCCAATGCTTAGCTGAGGGGAATAAATTGTAAAGTTGTCACTTTTTGAAGGGACAATTGTCTTGACACTTCAGCTTGTCTTGTACATGATGCATGAATTCCTTCCCTGGTCCGATGAGTCCTGTCTCAATGCTAATTCTATCTTTTTTCCACTTCCATTTGCATGACGTCCAGGGGATTTGTCAATTGCTAGTTTTCAAAGTAAGTTTCGTTCCCATTTGGTAGTTTTCACCTTTGGGTGACCCTTATTAAACACTATCCTAAGTGCTGGTCTGCTCTGACTGATTGAAGTGAACGTAAAGCAGATTCACAGCAGACTGATTAGCATTTAGGATTGTGTCCATATAGCTTTTTACCATTTTTAAAGATTCAGTTTGCCCAAGTTTGCTCCCTTAGTCCCTTCTAGTCATGTCTTATCCTCACCAGTCGTTTGTTTTTTTTCCCCTCAGTAATTGTGCTAATTACCATGTGATTAATGTGTCACCTCTGTGTCCTACTCTAAATTATTAGTTAATTATGCTGCTCAAAATGCTGGATGCAGTGCAAATTCAAATATTTATCAGAATCAACATTTTATACTTGGTTAAAAAATACACTGGTAATACTTTAGAAGTCCTAAACAAATTTACCATGGTACTGTTTCCACCAAAATAACATGGGTAACTAGTTGACTCGATCTGGTTGGAGTTGTTCCCTGGTGGGAAGACTGTTAAGCTACATTCACACTGTCAGTTTTTGGGATTGACAACCACATTTACTAACAGGTGTGAGTCTCGAAATGTCCCGTTCACACAGCAGCTTACAGTAGCGTCTCGAATACTGTCTGTATGAACGCGCAACAGGAGTCAAGCCCGTATTCCTTACCAGTTGCCATAGCGACACTGACCAAAGTAAAATCAAAGATGGCGACGTCCATAAAACTGAAGGCCTTATCACTTTCTGACACGACAAGAGTTCAATCGAGCCGCAAGTTCATCTGTCAAACCTTCATTAACCGACAGCAGATTTTATATTTGGGTGGAGAGTGGAGTATTTGAGTCGCGTGCAGAACACAAAACTGATGTGAGCGGCTCCGGTGGAGATTGGATCTAAAACTTTCAGATGACACATAGCTCATTTCTCCGTCACTGCAAGTTACTGAAATCACACATGAAAACGCAACACATGGTAAACACGCGCTTACTGACCTAAACTTCAGTATGTGCCTTACCCAAAGCTGTAATTTCAGAAGACTTACAGCACACAAGTCGACTACTTTTATGGTGGTTCATTATCTTTTTTTGAAGCCTGAAAGCTCCACTCCACAATTGTTATTGCATGAAAAAGAGTGACCAGCACATTCTGCAAAATGTATCCTCTTTTGTTTCTTGGAAGAAAAAAAGCAGTGCGGGTTTAGATTGACATGAAGGTGAATTAATCTTTTAAAGGTATTTCTATCCATTTTGTTTATCGGATCCTATCTTAAAGCAATTTAAAATTGAATCGACTCTGCAGTAAAAGAGTGATTATTTGCCTCTCAACGCCTGGAGTTCTGAAACATGCGCATCGTGCCATAGCTGCCTATTACCTGGTCTCTCTTATGGCCTTTCATTCTATGTTTATTCCTCCCTTATTGCTCCCTAACCCTTATTTTCCAAGCTGCCACTTACACAGACTCGATCTAATTAAACATAAAGGTTGCATCTCTATCAGAGACCTGTACCTCAGTGTCTAATGATTAGCTTTATTTAGAGCTTTATTGCCATTGCTTGCTCTTGCTTTTAACACTGTGCTCCAAGGCTTTTAGCGTGTTTGCGATCGCTGTGCTTTTCCAGATAAGGTATTAAATTACCCAGTGTCCTCTTTGTGTGCATATAATGAGAGAGAGTGCCCTTTCTGTGTTCTCTAGACGCGGTCAGATAGCAGTAATAGAACGGCTAGGGGGCGGGGGCGATGGTTTCCCATCAACACTCTGTTTTGTTATTTGGTGTCGTCATTCTGTTCGTATGCAATGTTCAGATTTGATTGTTTCCCCTCTCATACCTCACTGCCGGTCTGGTATTTATCATTCGTCTCATTTTTGAGTAATTAGGGCTGTGGGTTAAATAAAAAAAATGGATTCTTCATGGAAACTTGGTTGTTAGGTATTCTTATGGGATCCAAAGGTTATGTTATGGCTAGATGGACAATCCTTGTGTAATACTGATTGTGATGAAACGACTGTCTTCACTCACATCAACGCTGCCCCGACTCTTCGATCGCCTCTCCTCAGAGAAAAGCACAATCACTATCCCTGTGATGAGGCATGCCTGACGTTAGTACTGCCTCGTCACTACTGCCTTTAAATGCAGAGCATGCCTCTCCATGAGAGTCCAGTCTCTTCCCCAGTGCATGCACAATGGTTTTCCCGTAGGTCCAGGAAAGGAGCAGGTCGGGAATCCCATGGCACCAAAAGTAGAGTTGCCTTACCCACTCCTCTCCTCAAGAGACCGGTCTCAATGGTGCATGAGAGTGTCCCAATACGTTCAAGAAGGAAGTAGGCAGGGAATCCCACACTACAAGAGGTAGAGTTGCCACTCCAAGTCTCTGGGACAGAAGCACAGAAGCAGCCGACTGACCAGCTCACTTTGCTGTGGCCCCGGGGAAGCCAAGTTGTCACACTGTCAGAAGAAATGTGCAAAAATTGTACCTTGTACATGAAATACCTTGTCACTGGGTTAGAAGCTTCAGGTACACCTTGTACCTGTACCTTATTTATGGGTGCATATATAAGGTACAAAGGAGTACCTTTGAGGGTCCTGCCCCAGTGACGAGCACAGTTTTTTTCTGAGGATGTACGAAAGCCACCAACTTTCGAATTCCAGACTTGAAGGGCAGAGTCTGAAGACCACTGCGCCCTCCCCGTGCCTGAACCTTTATTAACACCTCCAGACCTTCACAGTCCAGTTATTAAAATGTCCTTTCAGTTCATCCTCATTCTCCTGTGGACACTTGATTCCACCTTTTTTAATATTTGAAAATCGTTTCAAATAAGCGCCTCTTCAGGCCTCTTTATCTGTCTTTGCTCACCCTGCCACATGATGCGATGTTAGTGAGGTTTTATACCTTACCAAGAATCACACTTAGAGCACTGTATATCCTAAACTATAGAAAAAAAGGTTTGATCACTCTGGGTACGTTGACTGGTCCACATGTGATCTTATTCACAGACAGAAAGGCGTGATCTAAATTATTTGTGAAGTGACTACCCATAGTTTGCTTTTGTGATTATTGTTATACTTGTGATTTAAAAAAAGATATATTGATAGACATACTGAATGAATAAGCTTTTCTCTTGCTACAGAGCCCTGTCCATCACTTCTGCTGCAGAGACACATGGCTGAACTCCTTAGTCAAGACAAAGACATGGCTGCCAGTTTCCTTAATAGCGTCTTAAACCAGCTCAACTGGGCCTTCTCCGAATTCATCGGCATGATACAGGAGGTAAGAAAGTTTTGCCTTCCCACCACAGGCCTTCTGATGTGTCAGACCAACAGAAAGTCCCACCTCAAACTCAGGCAGAAGCTGAAGTTCCAACACACTAAAACAAACAGAGCAATCAATAGCCGGGTTTCCATCCAAAGTTGCAAATTTAACTTGTGCGCAAAATTGGAATATCGCATAAAACCTGTGCGAAGAAGCACCGTTTCCATCCAATGAGTCAAAGAGAAAATCGTCACTTCCTTATCAACTGGCACAAAATATCACTAAGAAAAGTTGAAAAAGCCACTGAATATAATAATTTTCATATATAATAAATTACTTGCGCCTCAGAGCAAGCAGACGGAACACAACAAATGTGGCCATTGTTTTCGGAAGTGGATGCTGCTGTTTGGGAACGCAGTCATGTAAGACAGTTCTGGGAGACAGTTATACAGAAATACTTTGACAGACTTTGTTCGAGCATTTAAGAATGACCATAACAACATTTCAGAATGAGATCGGTCTGCTGGTTACTCAGGTTATGCCGTCCCATAGCACAAAGTCACATGAGTTTTTTGATGCACATGGAGGAATTTATTCATAAAATGCGTTTCCATCTCCCATTATTCACATTAACCCTTTTTCGCACAAGTCAAAAGCCACCTCAAGCGAGCGTAAACCTTTTTGCGAATTAAGGTGTTTTTTTCTTCCCAAATTTGGTGTTTCCGTCACTCATTTCTGATGCAATACTTCAAAATGCGCATAAAAACAGGGTGATGGAAACATAGCTAATGTTTTGAGAACACACCACAGAGCTAGACTAAAAGTTTTTTCTTTAACCAAAAGTTAAATGAAACTCTACTTGTTTAAATCTGTAGGCGATTGTTTTCTCCGCCCCACTTATTAGCCCTGCAATACTGTAACTTTCCACTAACTCAATCAGAGCCTGTAAATTATTCATAATGACAATGTGCTCATGACTGCCACTTGATATTTGAGCTGATTTAGCCTACCATCATGCATTTTCAGTGTAAAATGAATCTTTGCATAGTTCAAGTTACTTAGGGTGCTTTCACACCTGTAGATCGATTGCTTTGTTCCGAAACAGGGATTAAAATTATTACAATGTTGCTTTTTATTCTTGGTGCGGTACGCTTTCATACGGCAATGTTTCTAAATGGACCAAATTTGTTAATACAAGTCATGCGCGAGTAAACTGTTCTCTCATTGGTCAAAGTTTCACGGTTTATTTTCCGGGATTCCACTTAGCTGTCACGGCTGTCATCCATCTGGATGGAACAACAACAGCTTCACGGGCTTATTGTTGTTGTTTTGTGTAGATGTCGTTATATTAATTTATCACGTTGAGCAGGAGTCCAGGATTCATCTTGAAAACATTTTTAAAATGCACCTACTAGGAAGAAGAGTGATGAGACGGCATTATAAAATGAAAAAGTGCGCTTTGATTTTGAATGGAGAAGACGTGCTCACCCACAGACATTCACAGGTTCATTTTGAAGTATTAGCAAAACAACAAAGCTAATGCTTTTCACGGAACTTGCGTAATTACCCATCATAAATTGTGATATAGCCTGGTTCGTTG